TCGCTCCCTTGAGCTCATCATCTCCCTACCCTCCTCATTTCAGCATGAGCACTCAAAGCAACGCAACTGCGTTTCAATTTAACCGGTTTTCTAGCCCATTGTACAATTTTCAATTCCCTAATTCCCAACTTCAAGAAATTAATAACAATCCACAGCAACCATCCTCGTTCAGTAGTTCAACCTCTGATGAGGCTGATGAGCAGCAACTCAGTCTCATCAACGAGAGGAAACAAAGACGAATGATATCTAACAGAGAATCTGCGCGCAGATCACGTATGCGCAAGCAGAAGCACTTGGATGAGCTCTGGTCACAAGTCGTTTGGCTCAGAAATGAGAATCACCAACTTGTGGACAAGCTGAACCATGTCTCAGAGTCCCACGACAAGGTTCTGGAAGAGAATGCTCAGCTCAAAGAGGAAGCTTCTGAGCTTCGCCAAATGGTCAATGACCTGCAACTGCACAGTCCTTATAATCCTTTCCTTCGGGACCTCGAGGATGTCCCATGCAACACTGCTTATCTGAGAACGGAGTCCTCAAACCCGTCCATCACAAGTTCCATGGATTTGCTAGGCTAATATCGATGGACACAAGTTCTTATCAATTCCCCATTTTTCCCATTGCCCATCTATGGTGATCTTCTGTTTGTGTAGAAGTCAACCAGTCCTTAACTCACTTTAAAATCTGTATCAGATCCAAGCGAATAAGCAATAAAATGTTTTGAGCATTTTTCATTGAATCATTGCTCAAAATTTTCGGCACTATCTCTTAGCTAGAATCTTATCTATCTCAAAAAAAAAATCTTAAATCATGTAAACTCTCGCTAACTAGCTGCATAAAGTTAAATACTGCTTGTTCTTACATAAAAACTTTCCAAAAAATCCTGATCACTGAAAAATTATCAGATCACCTGATCAGCTACCGAGCTTGCTAGATATTTATCATCAATAATTCTAGAAATATTGTTAAAAAATAGAGGTTATTGCGCAACGAAGAAACAATAATTTCAGGTGTACTAGAACAAAGGGAGGAGAAAAAAAATCCAATGTGTGGAGCAGAAAGTGGCAATGGTGGTGGGGGGGGGGGAGTTGGTCATGACACAGAAATAAAGGTGGTGAAAATGGGAGTTGGTTCGTCATATTAAAATTACTATAAAGAGGTAAGACATTCACAAAAGCTATCCACTAACATATACATCCAATTAAGCACTGGTTTCTAGCTTTTTAGAGAGCTGGCTTGACTAGACACAACGACATGTTTTATTTTGTTTTGTATTGCAATTTGTTCTCTTTGATTTGGATATTTTCTCAGAGACTTCATCTCTCTCTTTCTTTCTTTCCTGCAATACCTTTTTTGCCTACGAAGATCTGCAAACGTAAGAGCCTTGATATTCTATTTATATATATTTCCAGTAATGATCGTTTACACGCATTATACGCAATCAAATCAGAGTTGCAATCAAGCTCACGGCCGATAAATTTCAAATCCATCTCATCAGAATGAATCCTATCAAGATTACTGCAGTTTAATCAAGTTCCCAAGTTTTGTATAGCAGCATAAAGCATAACAGAAACACTGATTGTTCTATGAGTACATATGTTTAATCCTAAACTGTGTTAATATTATATCGCACATACTTAATATATCCCTTTACCTTTCAGAGAAGTGCACAAAATAATCCACGGCAAATGAAGAAGAGAGAATATCAAGGTTCAATTCCAACAAAAAGTTTTCAGAAAGCGGAATATGAGGGAAGCTCTAGCAAAGGGTTTGTTCCGAAATTCCTAGGGTGCTTTTTCCAATTTATATTTTACTTCAAATACGTTAAACGTAAAAGAATAAGAAACAAAGTCATACGATTTTATTAAAATTAATCAGAAAGCAGTATACATCAATAGTAACACAAATGTGCAGATATGACCTGTACAGACTACAACTAGAAAAACAAAGAACTGGGGCGTCCAAAAATTAGAATAAGAAAGTTACGAATCAGCCTGCAAGATTATTCTATCATTTACAGTTTGAATTTGTGTAACAACATCACCAGTATTCGTTGCAAGAGCATGTCGCGTCCTTGAAATGATGAAACCGATTTGAATCCCTTACTACTATTTCTCTACCAGTGGCTTGCGAAATATATTTAATAGCAGTGTGACAGTTTCTGCAAACATGGAGATTCTTAAACACTCCAATGGGTTTTGATTTCGATGTCCCAATAAGACCAAGTAGAATTCCTTTTGCTGCTCTTCCATATCATGAAGTACATAATCTGTATTCGGGACATAGCGCAATTTCTTTATCTTTGAGCCCAACTGGTTCAGTTCATCATAAATCTCCTTCGCTTTTGGGTGTGAAGTATCCCCAACATGAAACTTGTGGATCTTATTTTTCACCTCTATCCAGCTAGAACCTGCTTCTTTGATCAAATACTTCTCTTTCATATCTTTTCTTACTTTTGCCACTTCTTCCCACAAACCAGTGGAAGCATACAAATTTGATAGTAAACTATATGCTGCCGAATCATGTGGGTTCTTCTCGATAATCATCCTTGCTGCATGTTTACCAAGCTCTATGTTACCATGCACTCGGCAGGCTCCGAGAAATGTTCGCCAGATTAGTTCATCGGCTGTAAAAGGCATTGAGTTAATAAACTCGAGCGCTTCTACAAGGGATCCTGAGCGGCCTACTAAATCAACCATGCATGCATAATGTTCCATTCCTGGGATGATACAATGTTTTTTCTCCATCCCTCATCAACCAAACCCGCATGGCTACAAGCTGATAAAACAGCAATATATGTGATTCTGGCCTCAAGCATTTTGTCAAACACTTCTACCGCTGGAGCTGCATATCCATGTTTTGCAAAACCCGTGATCATTGAAGTCCATGATATAACATTCCAATCATCCATCTCATTGAACACTAAAAAGGCAGCATCTATGTTTCCACACCTGGAATAATGGAAACCAAAGCATTACAAATGCTTGGTATGACTCAAACCCTGACTTTATTATCCGGGCATGGATTTGTTCTCCCTTACCAACTGCACAAATGCTTGCAGCTCCACTCTAGAGACTAGAAAATGTGAAAGCACCAGCCCCAAATCCTGTATCCTGAATTTCATGAAAAAGTCCAAAGGCTTCTTCTGCGTCTGAATGCTTGGCATATGCATCAACGACTGTGTTATAAGATATCAAATTTTTCTCATACAGAACATCAGAAGATTTGTGGGCATCTTCCACCTGGCCTGACTTTGAGTACATGCAATAAGTGAATATCCCACACAGTTGATGGAAGCCAGACCTGATTTCACTTCCAAGGAGTGAACTTGTTCACCCGTACGCAGATCCAAAAGATTTGCACTAGTCTTCAGAATGCTAGAAAAGGTGAAATGGTTTGGCAGAACAAGACCTGACATCATTTCAACAAAGAGTTTGATGGCTTCCTCATCACCCTTTCCGCTCTGCACATATCCATTGATAATTGCAGTCCATGACACAACATTATTGTTTAGCATCCGATCAAATACCTTCCTCGCATCATTCATCGATCCATCAGCCGCACACTTGGAATACATGTCCACCAAACAACACCCGACACAATGACCTAAAGCCAATCCAGACTGTATAACCCACGAATGCAATTGCTGCCCTAATGATAGTGATTCCAACTTTGTGCACGCCAATATAACGCCACTTAGTGCAAACTGGTCAGGCATGAGCCCACTCAACAACATATCTACATACAAATCAATTGCCTCTCTGGGGAAACCCATCTGAGCAAACATATACGCTTCACCCAAATCTCCACTACCCTTGGCAAACATATCGATTAATGAGCACCCAACACACACATCAGACCCAAGATACCCACTTTTGATCACTGACCCAAAAATTATCTTCCCAATCCCAATATTTCGGGCATTCAAACACGCCCGAATCACCGATGCGAAGCAATACTTAACCCATGTTCGAGCATATGAAGAAATGTCGAAATCGCTTCGTATCCCATATCGTTGTTCACAAAACAAGACACCATGGCACTCCAAGAAACCAAATTTCTTTCACTGCCCATGTTTTCAAAGATGGAATTCGCCTTCTTCCAGTCCCCAGATTTCGAATACAAGCTGATCAAGGAGTTCAGAAGCACCGGGTCGGGTTCGAGCTGCGAGCAAGCCAGCCGGTCGTGGACAAGCTTTCACAGGTCGAAGTTCCGGGATCGGATGCAGGACTTGAGGAGGAGGGAGTAGGCGGGGAGGTCCGTGTGCGTCCCGCGCTGTGCCATGAGATCGAGGGTGGTGATTGCTTTGTGGAGATGGCCGACATGAATGTGGCTGATCAGACGGTTGTTGAGAAGGTCAAAGTTGGTGGCTTTCTGGGGGGGCGGAGAGGAGGAGGTGGTGGGAGTTTGGCGGGAGCGGGAAGAGAGAGGCTCAGGCTTGGCATGTTTGTCACTAACGGCTAACTCTGAATTCCATTTCAAATTTCTGTTACTAGAAAAATTGATAGGCTTTTGTCTTACAATTTTGAAGCATACACGCTCTATCTTTTTACGTCCGTGACAATAAACATCAAGAAATAAAGAGTCGAACTTTATCATTTATACAAAAACGTTACTTTCATAATTTATCCTACATTTTTTTTTTGGTCAAGGTCCTAAATATGGTTAAACTCGAGCGAATTATAAGTTGATTTCAGCCCAAGTTTCTCAATATAAATTTAAACTTGAGTCTAATTTTATTAGTGAAAAATGTATAAACCTAAACTCAACCCATGAAATATTTTTTGAACTCCAATTAGAAAAGAAAATTCGATTAAACTACGTTATTGTAATCAACTTAGCTAAATTTAAGTCTGCCGCACAAGTTTTAGATTCGTTGGGTGGGTTAGACTAATGACCTTAGAATTTTATTGAACTTGCCCGTTCTCTTTCCACCACCTATTATTATTATTTTATTTTAAATAATAATAACACCGACACGGAAATTAGGTCCTTCTCACTTGGAAGTTTGATCCCTTCCACGCTTTCACATGGTCTTCTTCTTCACACCCAGCTGAGATCTCACAGACACTCACACACTTCCAATCACCTCTCTCTCTCTCTCCTCTCTCTCACTCCTCATTCCACTTTCCAATCAGCTGAGAGAGAGAAAACCCAAACCCTTTGCTGCTGCTGCTGCTGCTGCTAGAATCAAAACACCATTCAATCATCAATAATCGATCATACTCTGTTTTGAGCCTTCTGATCGGAAGTTTTGGTTGCTCCAATGGCGGTGGCCATGCGAGGCAGCCGAGGAGGAGGGTCGGGTTTTTGGCGGGTTCAGCCTCCGGAGCTTCTTCTCGTACCGGATCTTTGTCTCGGCTATGTTCTCTCTCCTCTTCATTGCTACGCTTTCTGTTATCCTCACCACAAATCCTTCAACTCCGCACCACGACTCTGTATGTATTGCCCCCTCTTCCCTAAATCCATTTTCTCCCAATTATTTATTTGATTAATCGAGGTTTAGATTGAAATTTCGAAGCTTTAGCAAAACCCAGATGTTAATTTCGCTGATTAATCACAACCCACGTTCTAACTTTCACATCTGAACAAATCCCAGATTGGAAAAAAAAGAAAAAGAAAACCCATGTGAAAATCTTGGGAGTAGTACAAAACCCAGATGTTAATTTTTCAATTAGATAGGATTGAAGTTTTAATCTTGATGTTTAATTGATTGCAGGCACTTCCAACAACTGGAAACGCGTACATGCGTAGGACGTTTTTAGCTTTAAATTCCGACCCTTTGAAAACCAGATTAGATTTGATATATAAGCAAGCCAATGATCATGTTACTCTGGTGAATGCTTACGCGGCGTACGCCAGGAAGCTTAAGCTTGAGATATCTAGGCAAATGAGAATGTTTGATGATTTGGCGTCAAATTTCTCTGATCTTCAAATGAAGCCGGGTTACAGAACTGCATTGTTTGAATCAGACGGTCCGTTGGATGAGGATGTTTTGAGGCATTTTGAGAAGGATGTGAAGGATAAGGTCAAAATTGTTCGGTTGATGATTGCGGAGTCAAAGGAAAATTATGATAATCAGCTCAAGATTCAGAAGTTGAAGGATACCATTTTTGCTGTTAATGAGTTGCTTATAAAGGCAAAGAAGAATGGGGCATTTGCAAGCTCGATTGCCGCAAAATCGATACCAAAAAGTTTGCATTGTTTGGCCATGAGGCTTGTTGAGGAAAGAATATCACATCCGGAGAAGTACAAGGAAGAAGAACCAAGCCCCGAATTTGAGGATCCAAGTTTGTATCATTTTGCAATTTTTTCGGATAATGTCATCGCAGTCTCAGTGGTTATACGATCTGTGGTTAAGAACTCAGTTGAACCGTGGAAACACGTTTTCCATGTTGTTACAGATAGGATGAATCTTGCTCCGATGAAGGTTTGGTTTAAGATGAGGCCTGTGGAACGGGGTGCGTATGTTGAGGTGAAGGCAGTAGAAGACTTCACTTTCTTGAATTCTTCATATGTGCCGGTGTTGAGGCAACTTGAGTCAGCAAAGTTGCAGAAGTTCTACTTTGAGAATCGGGCAGAGAATGCTACCAAGGATACACAAAACATGAAGTACAGGAACCCCAAGTACTTGTCAATGTTGAATCACCTTCGGTTTTATTTGCCGGAGATGTACCCTAAACTGCACAAAATTCTCTTTTTGGATGATGACGTCGTGGTTCAAAAGGACTTGACAGGATTGTGGAAGATTGATTTGGATGGGAAGGTGAATGGAGCTGTTGAGACGTGCTTTGGGTCCTTCCATCGTTACGCCCAGTATTTGAATTTTTCACACCCACTTATCAGGGAGAGGTTCAATCCCCGGGCTTGTGCTTGGGCCTACGGGATGAATATTTTTGATCTTGATGCTTGGAGGCTGGAGAAAAGCACCGAGCAGTACCATTACTGGCAGAACTTGGTAAGTGTTTATTTTCATCGTAAATTCCTTGTGTGTATGAAGATTAAGTACCATTCGGGTTAGCAATTTCGAAGTATGTTAATCCTTCCACAGAAACACTTGTGATTTTCACTTTGGAATTGCTAGCCGAATGGCACAATATGTAGTTGAAGTACAATTGCGCCGTTACTTTCATAAGTGGAATGCATCATTCATAGTGATCGGTGAGTACTTTTGCCCATGAATTTTTGCAGAATGAGGACCGGACTCTATGGAAGCTGGGGACTCTTCCGCCGGGGCTGATTACCTTCTACTCGACGACCAAGTCTCTGGACAAGTCATGGCATGTTCTTGGGCTGGGGTACAATCCCAGTATTAGCATGGACGAGATTAGAAAAGCTGCGGTCATTCATTACAACGGAAACATGAAACCTTGGTTGGACATTGCTATGAACCAATACAAGAAACTGTGGACGAATTATTTGGACAATGATATGGAATTTGTTCAAATGTGCAATTTTGGCTTATAGAAAATAAAAACCATCTTCGCTGCTCGGATCCAAGTTCATCAGCGAGTCGCAGCTATTGTCAGTCACTACGTGCTAATTCTCACAAGTTTTGGTTTCCTTCGTTAGTCGCAACCTCAGAGCGAAGCTCGGTGAGAAATTATGTCGTCTTTCTTTCTTTTTAATTTTGGGAAAGGCTGCCTGTTATGCTTGCCTAAATGTTGTATCTGTTGCTCATGTGAATCATGGATTGTACCAGATTGGGAATGTGTACGTAGCAATTCTTCTGCACTTTGCAGTATATGTAATTCACAGATTCAGATTACTTGAAGCTTTAGCGAAAACCCGGTGACAACTACCACTGAAGTTTTGATGGTTGAAGCGTTCATCAAACGAATCCGATCTTACCCTAAATTCTCTCTTATCAGAAGACTCATCTCTCACTTTTTATCAACGGGAAGTCGAATAGAATGCAGTAATGGTTGAAGCATTTGTTGTTTGTGAATGTTCTTAGTATTCCTGCTAATGTAGGAAGCTCTTATTTGTGGCGGGAGTTGTTTATCCATGTTCTTAGTATTCCACCTAATGTTGTTATCACATAATCATTATTCATTTATCAAATTTAGTAGGAAGATCGTATTTGTGGTGGGACTTGGCTACGGTACATATACATTCACCATCTAATGGTTAGATACGAAATTTTTTTCTTTTTGGATGCATATTTTAGATTATAAATGTATTAAGTAAATGCATATAGCGGTGCGAGTCATCTTATTTGTGATTGGTGGATAAGAATTCACATTCATATACAAAGGAACCGGATCCCCTCCAGTCCCAAAGGAACTGAGTCCAACGATCAAATTATCCGGACCATTGAAATTTGATTTAATGATTACAATTATTATAACTTTTAGAGAACTTCCAATTTGTAGTCGTTAGATTAAATTTCAATGGTTCGATCATTTGATGAGTGGGCCCAGTTCATTTAGGTCCGGAGAGGATCCGGTTCCATATACAAAGACGCAAACGGATTCTTGTGGTGTGCGGATGCTTTGCAAATGGTGACGTCATGTTGAGATGGTTAATGTCTAATATATTCATATAATTTGCAATTGGACAAAAGTGTCCACACAAATAATGTCCAGGTCAGATGCATATGCTTTCCTAGATCCATTTCAGCTTCTTATCGCATTTAAAATTTGAAAGGTTAATTGAGTTGAAAATAGTGTTGAGATTAAACAGGATAGTGCAAGTGGAAGAAAATGCTATATGATTATCATTTCGCTATAATATGTTTGCAATGCGCTGCTACTTAGTACTACAGTTTAGTGATGTAAGTGAAATATTTTAGATTTGAGTTTGAATCATATTATTGCTAGTTCATTGTGAAACTAAATCCACTCTTTCCCCTATAACGTAGCTAATATCGTTTGTTAAAAAAAAAAAATGTTTGCAATGCTCACCTCTCGAGATAAGGGTAGGAGCCTATGAGGTGCAACAGGGTTGGAAGGACTTAATTACATAATGAACAATCTAATTTGATATCAAATTCGATATTCACAAACCTAAATCTGTAGTGGCGCCAGTCAACTGTTGCGGTACTTTGGAGGGGCTTTCCATATCTCCACCTCACCTAACCCATCTTCAACGACGGCTTGTCCACCTCACCTACCGGGTCAGTGGCCAATCTTGACCCGCTATGCCAAGAAATTATTTTTTTCTTAATATAAAAGCTCAACACTTTCCGCCTACCACAGATCTTTGATTTCTTGGGTTCTGCTCGATTTCTTCAGATTTTCAATCCCCTTTCTCTCCTTACAGAAGAACACTTTCAGGTTTGGATCATTTTGCTTTCTGGGTCTTGATCAAAATGCTCCCCCTACTGATTTACTTTGCTGAATGTAATTACATCCATTAAATTATTTGACTTGCTGCGGTTAAAAATCATAGCTTTTCTGACGTTTGATTGGATCCTATGATTTGGGATTGTTGATCTGTGTTCGTTTTGTTACTGTGCTATTGGGTTGCTCTTGATCTTGACGATGAATTTGGTTTTGCAATAATCTGTGGATTCTTGGGATTTTTCAGATTGATTAGATCATGCTTTTTAGTTCATCCAATCAGTTTGGTTGATGGGTTCTGGAATTTTATGATTTTTATATTAAATATGATTTGAGTTTTGTTACAGATAAGTATAAGTGGGTCTGGTTTAATTTGGTTAGCTTCAGAGTTCAGAGAATTCACTCTTGTGGGTTTCTACGGAGGTTGTGGGGCAATGAAAGTTTAGTTTTTTTATATTTGTTTGTCCATTGACTCGATCGGAACAATTGGACCGTCAAAGTTAGGGCTTAGTGATTAAACTGGAGTAACATCGTTGTTCGTTAGATTTGTTAGTTTAGTGTTATTCATCTGAGGATCATATACTTAATGTTTAATCTCGTCTGTTCTACAATGCGAAATTAGTGTGCAGGGTTATCCTCACATTTTGTTCCCCGGGACTCGGGTTATTTAGATTTGTACTCTATGTCTCTCCAGTATATGGATCTAGTCTGACAGTCTCACTAACAATTGCATGTAGCAGACAGGGAAAGAGATGGCTGCACCACCAAAACCCTCAAGAATAGGCCTTGCCGGTTTGGCTGTCATGGGCCAAAATTTGGCCCTCAACATTGCAGAGAAAGGCTTCCCCATTTCGGTATACAACAGAACTACCTCCAAAGTTGATGAGACTGTTGAGCGAGCTAAAAAGGAAGGAAACCTTCCCCTTTATGGATTCCATGATCCCGAATCTTTTGTTAAGTCAATCCAGAAACCCCGTGTCGTGATCATGCTTGTCAAGGCTGGGGTGCCTGTTGACCAGACCATAAAGACCCTTTCCGTCTACCTGGAGAAAGGCGACTGCATCATTGATGGTGGTAATGAGTGGTATGAGAACACTGAGAGGAGGGAGAAAGCCATGGCCGAATTAGGTCTTCTTTACCTTGGAATGGGAGTTTCAGGTGGTGAGGAGGGGGCTCGATACGGGCCTTCTATGATGCCTGGAGGATCCTTTGAGGCCTATAAGTACATTGAAGACATTCTTCTTAAGGTGTCAGCTCAAGTTCCGGACAGTGGTCCTTGTGTGACTTACATTGGCAAAGGTGGGTCTGGTAACTTTGTCAAGATGATTCATAATGGGATTGAATACGGTGATATGCAGCTCATAGCGGAGGCTTATGATGTGCTGAAATCAGTGGGAAAGTTGTCAAATGAGGAACTCCAAAAAGTTTTCTCAGAGTGGAACAAGGGTGAGCTTCTCAGCTTCCTGATTGAAATCACTGCCGATATATTTGGAATCAAGGATGACAAGGGAGATGGATATTTGGTTGACAAGGTTTTGGACAAGACTGGCATGAAGGGTACTGGTAAATGGACCGTACAGCAAGCTGCTGAACTATCAGTTGCAGCTCCAACAATTGAATCTTCTTTGGATGCAAGGTTCCTTAGTGGGTTAAAGGACGAGAGGGTTAAAGCAGCTAAAGTGTTCAAGTCAGCTGGCTTTGAGGATAGCTTGAATGCCCCAGAGGTGGATAAGGCAAAGTTGATCGATGATGTGAGGCAAGCTCTTTATGCATCCAAGATATGCAGTTATGCACAAGGGATGAATCTGATCCGTGCAAAGAGTATCGAGAAGGGATGGGACTTGAAGTTGGGCGAATTGGCCAGGATTTGGAAGGGAGGATGCATCATTCGTGCAGTGTTCCTGGACAGAATTAAGAAGGCCTATGATAGGAATGCTGATCTCGCAAACCTTCTCGTGGACCCAGAGTTCTCAAAAGAGATTGTTGAGAGGCAGTCTGCCTGGAGAAGGGTGGTATGCCTTGCTATCAACTCAGGCATCAGCACCCCAGGTATGTCAGCAAGCCTTGCTTATTTTGACTCCTACAGAAGGGATACCCTACCGGCGAACTTGGTCCAAGCTCAACGTGACTACTTTGGTGCTCATACATACGAACGAACTGACATGGAAGGCGCTTTCCATACTGAATGGTTCAAGATCGCCAAACAGTCAAAGATCTAAGTCCAGTTTCCTTGCCATCCTACTCAAGCAGAGAGCCCTCCTTCATCCGAATAATTTCTGCTGACGATTTTACGCTGGGCGGAGCTTCTGCCAACTCTTTTCGGTGAAAATTTTATCCCAAACATGTTTTATCAGTTTTTTTTTAAGACTTAGAAGTGTGCTTTGTTATTCTTGTGCTTTTGACAGTTCTGTCCACCCCCACAGACCCCTCTCTAATATGGAAGACATAATTCTGTTCAATGTAAGGACTCTGGCGTGATAATCTAGACTGTAATGTTTGAAGAAAAAAATCAACGAAAAAAAATCTTATATTTCTCAATCTCTGCAGCTTTAATTATTATTATTTTTTGTGCATTTTTCCTGCAATTATTGTATGTGCCAAATATTCCTTAAGTATTTGGATGATGCTCTGAAGTACATCAATATGTGATTTAACAGTTGTCTGAATGAGAGCCGAAGAATTCGAAAGAATTTTACAACTGAATGTGAACCGAAGAATTCAAAGAATTCTTCAAGTGATGTGATCCATTTAAAAGACATGTAGTATAGGACTCCCCAAATTAAAGGGGGTTGGTTTTCTTATGAATCTTATCTGATCATGTTGACCTAATGAATAATAAGGCAAAAAGCGAGGCAAAAGGACATGTTCTTTGTTTCTTAAAATTCATTTTTCACTTTGCTAAACAACTGTTTGAGTGTGTTCTGTGCGGTTTTCTATGATGCGGACACATCTTGTTAGATAATTGCAAGATATGAGTAGCCGGTCGATCTCCACAATACAGTCATTCGACCGGCCACTCGCATTTCGCGATATCAGAGAACTTAAATATACTGATTACATGATAAAACGTGCAAATTTGATGACAAATCACAGATTTTGTTTTTGAAAGTGGTAGAATATTCTGTGGAGTTGGAAGTACAGCCCATGTTGGGTACTTGCTTTGCTGTTGCATCTGCACATCTGTTGCAGAAATACTCTACCAACAACGACAACAACAATCAAGTCTTATCCTGTTAAGTAAGGTCGATTATATGAATCCTAGAACGTCATAACGTTCAGTTTTGTACCAAGTTTTCCGTTAGCTCCAAGCATTCCACATCTTTTCTTATAGTCTCTTTTAAAGTCTTTGTTGGTCTTCCTCTACCTCTTTTGTCCTGATCCTCTGTCTTATAGTCACATTTTGTAATCGAAGCACCTATAGACCTTCAATTTATGTGTCAAAATCATCTTAACCGATTTTCTCTCATATTTATCTTCAATTGCGGTCACTCCTACCAATTTATAGTTTTTTTTTTTTTTTGTTAAACTCTACCAATTTTTCCTGTGACTGTCACAACAAAAAAACCTCAGCATTCATAGTTGGCATTCGTCTTTCTATGTTGATCTTTTTCTTTCCAGCACAACTTGTTAACATAAACATACATTCTGCATAATAATTTGTAAGCTTTCAAAACTAGTGCATCAATATTTTCTTTTACTGCAAATAGCCACATGTGTGCTTTGTGATCTTTCTTCTTTCCAGCAAATTGCACACACTGTTTGCTTCATAGCCACATGAGACCGCGGCACACACACTAA